TTATAATTTTGGCAATTTTGAATTAAAATTTTAATGCAAGGATATTTTTGGTATTTTACAACTTTCCTCCCTCCTCTCTTCTCTCTCCGGCCACCGTCCTCCGGTGATACTACAATGGTATCACAATGCATTATATATGTGCTTGGGTATCACATTGATGTCGTTTGTGTGGTCGATCGAAGATGTAACACATTGGTATCACTATGCATCTTATATATGATTAGGTATCACAATGTATCTTTTGTTTAATAGAGAAAGAAAGAGATATTGTTTCAAATGCAACCCATCGTATTTGTACAACCGATGCAACCTAATAAATTGAAATATTTGTGGAAATGATGAAAGTTCATTTATTATGATTTGAATATTTATGGAAGATGAATAAAGTTCATTAATTATGATTAATACTTTATATTAGAAAATAATCAAAACTTATATGAAATCATATATTCATCAAATTAAATGGACGGTTGAGATTAAGTTGTATTCATTGTACAAATGTAAAGGGTTATATAATAACCAACCTCTCTATATATATAGATAGGCTTGGCTAATTACCCTAAATGCACCCCTTCTTGTACACGTCAACATCAAAACTCATTTTTACATTTCTAATGCGGTGCAAATAACAATCCCTTTCCCAATTACCATAACCGAATGCTGATTTAAATCATATGTTGGTTGATTTTCCATTAAATCCTTCACGCTTGATGCTGTCTCAGTTGATTAGTTAGACTGTGTAGGTTATGACTTTTTTTACCTGCATAAAGCTCCTATAAGGTTATTGATTAAGCCACTTTCGATATCATTAAGTATTACCAAACAGTGATGTATAACTGATTGAATAAGTTGTAAGTCTCGTTAAGCTTTTAACATATATTCCCGAAGTCAAGAATGACAGAGAAACAACGAAAAACACAATAATATGAATTGAAACTAGAAATCATCACCGAGCAATTAAAACTGAAATATTTCAAGAAAAACATTTGTAAAACTAAATATTTCAAGAAAAACAGAGGCCTATTTATATACCATCTTCTCTCATGGAATCAAAATTAACCATTCTTACCATGATACCATCCCTACGCTATCATCATATCATATCATATCATCATCATATCATATCATATCTCAGGCTGTTTTTTACCCTTATACCCATCATCTCCCCTCGAGTCTTTATATCTCTTACCAGATTTTGCTTCATTTCATCTGTCACTCCAGTCCTCGCTTCTTTCCACCATCATGCCATACCTATAAAATCCGTCTTGTTATCGTCAATATGCAAACCTTGAGTTGGGATTTCACAATGTTCAAACACTTTGACTGAAATCCACATGAATCATCCGACCATCTACTAAAGCATTAAATATCTGTCATGAAAGATTGTAGACAAGATTAGAAATCTGATCACAAAAAGAAAAGAATTGTAAATACTACATTACACTGTTTCAGCAATAATGGGCAAATGCAACTTCAAATCTAAAATGCAGAAACCTCTCCATGTCTGTCATGCTAATTTGTTGTTAAAACAGAAAATCTCATGTGAGAAGGCCAAAACCACCAGTGATCATATCTTGGGTGGGTGGTCAGCAGAACCCCATTATCTGTAAGTCCACAGCTATCGATTAATGGTGGTTGTGTGGGGTGACATCATTTCATGAAAGAGCAAAACACAAGTTGTAGATTCTCACTCCAATGTAGAGTGAGAACATTTGCCATGGTAGACGCCTCGAGTAAAATGACATGGACCATATGACCCTACTTATTTGTTCAAGACCGTCTTATGGGGTTCACTTATTTAGAGTCTTCCTTTGACAATGACATCTTTTTGAGTCTAAATGTCACAACAACTAAGCAAAGACTTTGCTCCATTTTACACGATATTGACAAACAAACTTGCTATGCATCACAAACGACACGCAAGACCACAAAAGTGAAGTCAGAACAAAAACCATATGTACTAAATAACTTTTAATTTGTTATAGAAGTAGAAATTTCCTTAAAACCATAAGACATGCAATAAAAAGGATGCAAACAAGAAATAGAAAAGCGTGAGCACCTTGAAATATACTTGCTCACAAAAGTCTTGTCATCAGACCCTGGAATATAAATGACAATATCAGGTTACACCACCATACATATTGATCACAAGCACACAAACACAAAATAAGAAGAAAAAACAATTTAAGAGATCAATTAGGATACAAGTACACATGTTCTTTAAACACCAACTGCAAAAGAAACCCTGCTTGAGTGGAAGGTATCATTTTTAAATCTTTGCTTTGAACTTCTAATCTTATTGTTCAATCTAACATGACTGACATCTCTATGAGCTTAAGCTCTTAGTTGGGTTGGTAACTTAATATGATATTAGAGCTCAGGTTTAGCAAGGTTAAGGTCTCAAAGTTTTCCACTCCCCCCTCCCTTAAGTTATCAATGCGGTATGCACTCTATTTTTGTGTTCATAGTGATGCACCTCAATATGACTAGACGTAAATAACAATGTTGTAGCTAGATAATAATTGGACACACCATCAAACAGCTTAAGCTTGTTGCCAACAAATTGTACGCAACATGCACTCCATGTGTATTTTTGATTAACATCCATAACTAAGGGTCTGTTTGTTAGCAGCTTAATGAGCTTAATGAGACTCACTGCTTATTCGTTCAGCTATACATGACTGTTTGGTGGTGGCTTAATGATAAAGAAAGTGGCTTATTCAGTAAGCTATTAAGGGGGAGCTATATGCAGAAGCCAAGTTTTTTCAAAACCTGTCCCTCCCAATTAAAGTACACACTTCTATCTACGAAAAAACTCTTTCAAACAAAACCTTCACAATCCACACAGATAGCTTTACCAAAAAGAGCTTGATGGTAAACCAACCAAACAGCCCCTAAGGCAACCTAAGTTAGCATGGATGTAATTCTGAAGTAGAACCAAATCTTCAAGCCTATTATCCTCAAGTATGTCACATTGTTACTGTCTTGGTGAATGGCGCCATGGTTGGCCTTCCACCATATTCTTCTCTCAATTCCTTCAACATGTCATATTGTTACTCTTGGTGAATGGCACTCTACAACACTCTTCTCAAAGTCCTTCAATTAGTCTCCGAAGGGGATTAGGTTGAGGATGATATAACACATCACATACAAACAGGGTGGCTAAATTGGAGGGTTGCCATGAGGTTACTATGTGACAAGGTCCCGAAAGAACTGAATTGCAAATTTTACTAGGTACTCATCAGACCAGCTATCTTGTATGGGTCGGAATGTTGGAAGACAAGACCCATGATTGGAAGTTGGAGGTTGCAAACATGAGGATGCTTAGATGGGTCTGTGGAGGGGACCATGTTTGACAGGATTCCCAACAAGGTCTATGGTGGCGGTTTGCGTCATGTTTGTAGGAGACACAGGAGGGCTCCGGTGAGGAGGGTAGAATACGTGAGGAGGAGGGAGTGAAGGGGAGGGGAGGGGCAGGCTGAGGAGGACTTGGGATGAGTAGTTGAGGTTAAACATAACGGTTTTAGCTATTTCTGAGAAAATTACCTCTGATAGAGGCCTTGTAGACGAAGATTAGTGTAGCAGACTAGAAGTGGGGTCTGTGTAGCTTGCATAGACTGGTGGCACGGATCTGTAAGGGTAGAGATTAGGGGTAGGATTAGTAAAATCGACGTTAAACCCCCTGAATCCTAGGTTAGACCAGGGGTTGGTAGTCCTCCCTACCTTGTTTTTCTGTGTACCTGCTTTTGTTTGTATGTCTTGTTTATTTGTCTATTTGATATTTGATTGCTTACTTCCAACTCGTTTTTCAAATGTTAGCACTGCCTTTCTTGTTAGCAAGTTATTCTTTTTTGAAATTTCTTACTTTCTTTCCACACTATGCACAAGTTGGGGGTCTTCACAGAAACAGTGGCCTTACTCTTGTGGGCAGAGATCGAGCTTGTGTACATCTCAGCTCCCTTTTCAAGAACCCACCTTCAGTGGGACGTACTGGGCTTGTTTGGGTGGATTTGTAAACACACCTCCATCAAGTCCTTCTCATCGAAAATATCATAAACTAAATCCCAACTACTCTCGGCAATTCTATTTAACAACTGAGCATATAACTGCTATTTTTCTCTTTTACAATCCAATGTTCTAAAAAAAGCTTGGCAATGAATCAACCGCATAGTACATAATCGGTTAAACATATTGAGTCTTAACATATAAAATGTGGACTACAGAGTTGATGCAAGCCTGTCTTTTAATTTTATTCCTATAGTTAACAGTAAAAAACATGTATAACAACATGCATTATGTAACAAAATAATAAAACACGTGAAACCAAATAAGTATCCATTATTAGCTGACAATGGTTAAGATTTTCATTACCAAAATAGATACCTTGATCCAAACGTATCCATCACCAAAAAGGCACTAACCATGGCCATGATTTTAAGGCTCGGTTGAGATGTGAGCCTCGAGGCATGCCTCAAGGCAAGGCAGTGAGAAAACGACTCTAAAGCAGCGCCTCTGTTAGGCTGGTTGGGCCGTACGCCTCGGACCGCTAAACAGGAGGTTCATAAGAAAACATGACCTTGATAAAATCTACCAACCGAATCGGTCATGTTCTACGAGTTTTTGGACCTTTCACTGCTCAAGGATCTCTTCCAGTAGTTTTGTGCACTGCACATATTAACCATCAATAAAACTGCATTGTGAGTTTAACTTCTCTGATTTCCATCCCTGCAAGTGAGTGGATCCACTTTTTAGCAAAATGTTTATCAGCTTTTAATTTGTTTCCTTTCTAAAGATAGTTGGTGTATTCCCATCTATAACACTTAGGTGCAACACGATATTTGCCCAAATCGAAAGTTCATTTTCCTCTTTACAATATGCATTATTAAGTAATTTACTATATGCAAGTTCTTATCTAGTACACCAGTTTACCTGTCTGCAGTAAAATCCTTCTGAACCGTCTGAATAGACGACCATTGTAATATTTAACCCTGCATCAACCATGACAAAGATGTTGAGTTACTATTTAATCTATGTATTGTAACAACTAATACAGCTGAAAATTTACTATAATAACTTGGTTTTCATCGGCATCAAGCATGATCTAAATTTGGTAGTCCTTCCAATGGAAGATTTGTTAATTTTACTACCTAGCATACATTATTTTATATTCTCATGGCAAACCATAGGAGCCGCAACCAATAACTGCAAATTAAGGCTATGTTATTCTTCGCAAAGCAATATAATTGCACTTGGCTAATTAGTCAAAGGTGGGTATTGTGCATTCAGAAAGGAAAGTTGGTTGTAAAAAGGCAAACAATATACATGTCAAATTCTCGGAGCTTGCAGACTCGCCAGAGGGCCGCATGTCTGTCAGTATGATTTTGACGTCGGTGCCGAAAATATCTTCGTATATTGCTTTGTAAATATCTTTGTAATGAAAACCTTCGTAAATTGCTTTGTAAGTTCTTAGTAATATTAACCCTGCAGAAAAAGACAAATTGGTCAGTCTCTCTAGTCTCTATGACTCCACCCTTCAAATATTTGCAAAACCTTCTCCTTTTGGCTAGCCCCTTTTTAACGTTGATGCTTCATTACTGTACAATATGCATCAACAGTTGGAAATTTTGCATGAGAGGTGTAACTCCACATCTACGGCCACCTCCCTGAGCAATTTATCAGTCTCTCAAATGTAGTGAGCAATTTACTGGTCTCTCTCCCTCACCTCTTTTTCAAAATATAGAGGTATATTTGTTTTTAGAAGAACTTGATTGGAAGTACAAAAGGGCCTTTGGCCTAGCGGTAACTGGGTTATACCTCTCAAGAGGTCACGAGTTCAAACCTCACCAAAGGTGAGGTGGCTGCGTGAGTTCATTTGCCGTGTATAAATATTATTTACTTCAAAAAGACAAGATTGGAAGTAATGTTGAAAGATCGCAACAAATATCTACACAAACAGATCCCAGTTCGGGCAAAGTTGTTTACAGTCAGAATATGCGGAAAAGATCACAAAATTTTCAAACTTGATACGAATGTTGTGTGTAGCTCCACCTAGACCAAGTACAGTCAGATCTATTATTCTTGACAAAGAGGCAATGAGAGAGGAAAGAATTGATGAAAAATGGGAAATGAGAGGAAGGGAAAGTAAATAAATTACAAAAGGAGGGGTATTTTGGTAGTTCGTGGAAGACAAACATATTTTTGGGAGAGTGCAACATTGGAGTGAAGAGTGTAACATTGGAGCATAGAAACTGAAATCTCCCAATAATGATCACCTAGTAATATGTTTCAGTTGGCACATTTGTTTGTAAACCGTTGTGATTCAAAGGGCAGCCTTAAAATCCTTAGAAAAAGTTAAGAAAGAAAGAAGGTGAAAACTCTATAATCTTTACCTCTCTATATGGCAACCCTGCGACTATAACATTTTTATCTACATACACCACCCCTCGTCCCTCTATATTATACCCCAACATTTGACCTCCATTTTATGTTACTTGTGTGTCATCAACAAACTGGTATAAAGAACACTGACCATCAGCCAACATATACTTCTTATAAATCATATATGATCACTCCGTTGAGAAAGTCTAACAGATGCAACACGTATTACATCCACAAGTTCTTCATGAAGTTCAAGAAGATCTCCAGAATTACGGAGACGATGATAGTGGGGGGCTATAAATTTGGCTGCCAAATCCACCAAATCCCACTGGAAGCAAACAGCAGCAATTTGGATTATCTTGATTGCCATGTTAACCGAATCCAGGCAAGCTGCAATTACTCTTGAGCATTCCTTGTGAAGGTCTTCGAGAAGCCAACTATCTGACAGGCAGTAAAGCTCCACATATGGAATCACTTCATCAAATTTCTCTTTTTCGTTTAAATTATGCCATAAACAACCATATTTGGGCTTTGGCAGTAGCTTGCCAGAGTAAAACCAGTTAACTAGTCTAACCAATGCTTCCCAACCAAGATCAACCTTTATACTCTCCGACTGGCTGTAAAAAGAATCACATATCAGAATGAGTAAACATTCTAGTAGATTTAACTTCACAAAGGATTTTTTTTTCATATCATATATAACCATGAATGTAAGAGATCTCTAAGTACCTTTCCTGCATCCCAGAACAAAGTAAAGCACGCATGTGGTCACAACTTGCACACAAAATAACCTTGTGAGCATGTAAGTGTGGTTGTAATAGAGAGCATGCTTCACACATCCAGTCCTCAAATTTATCACCCTTTGCTTCAAGGATGATGTCCCTGCAATAGGGAACAAATTGTGTTAGACTCTAATATATGATTATGACGAGCAAGTGCAAAAGATTGGGTCACTTTGCCTCTAGAACCCTGTCAATCTATCATCTGGGAGCACCACATACAAAAGCAGTCAAGTAGCCTTGACAAACAAATGTCTTTATTCTAGTTAAGCACATATCATCTAATGCACAGGTTGTAAGCCAGTGGGAGCTCTCAAACTGATCTTAAAATTTTCAGCATAACAAGATGTTTAAGCCTTACTATCCATGCAAAACCAAAGTTCAGTCAGATTGCATGGAGGAGGAGAAAGGGGATGACATCAGGGGTCCCCACTTGAATACTCCAACTGTTCCACCATAAGATTCAACTTTATGTATTATTATTTTGTTCCAAGTAAATCTCTTAACTGAAGTTACATGGAACAAAATCTGATTCTACCACTACTATTTACATGATTCATGGCTATTTGTAGAATTTGGGAAGCTGACAAAAATTGTGGAACAGGTGGAATACATAATATACATTATAAACCAGAAATGGATCTAATTAAGTTGAGAGGAAGAGATCCCTACGAGAAATGGAAACCATTTGGTCCAAGAGCAGAGGTAAGGTCAAAGCTTGGAACAGGTGTTCTCCATTTGGGACGATTTCTGCAAAGCATTTGCAATAGGGGCTGCAAATTACAATGCTTAGCCAATGTTCTCAATCTCTTCACAAGATCTTCTCCTGCCCTCAAATGTCCTGAGTATACATATTCCAACAACTTCAGTAACGCTTGGTGATTGACATGGGCAGAGAGCCGAACTTCTCTTCCTCCAAAATGACCGGTAGAAGTTTTCGCTTCCAATGGTAATTCCCTACTAGGCAAGAGAGATGGACAACGAACTCTTACAATGACACCATGAGCATTAACATGCTCCTGGTTAGCAAGAATCAGCGTCAAATTTGTATGTTCATCTTCACTGAAAACGTTGCCAATCATATTGCCAAGTTTTGATGGAAAGCCATAAAATCCAAAATAGCTAAGAAGATAAGAGCCATACCATCTTGGTCCAGAAGCACAGGAGTTGATGCAGATCTCCTGCACTTTAGTTATTATTTGAGCCTCGGTGAACTCAAACTGCTTCACAAACCAGTCAACGTGACCTTTCATTGAACCAAGATGGTGTACCAATTCAGCCAGCCCCAACAAACCGAAAAGCAAAAACATTTCTTCGCCTTGCCAATCTTCTTCGCACTCATAGCAACACATCTTCATGTTATGGTCACAAAAATGAAGTGACGTATTCATCCTTTCTGTATGGACGTGATTTCTTGACAAGTTTTGTACGAAAGAGAACAATATCTTTATCCCTTGATTTTTCAAAACATACCTACGATATTGAGGTAGACCCGAATAACATGCCAGACTTATCAGGTTTATCACTTGAAGATTATTAGACACTGGATAGTAGATACCCGATGATGTAGCATTGAGGGTATTCAATATGTACTTGATATCCTCCTTGGCGTTTAGCTTCAACAGTCCAGATAGTACGGATTTGGCCTCGGATGCAATGTACTTGGAAGGGGAATAAATCATCAACAGAACGGCTCTAGATACTGGTTCATTTACAGCATTTTGGCAACTCTGACGGGTCGAACGAAATGAATCCACAAAGCCTAAACTGTCGAAAAGCATAAGAAAACAAACCTAAAATATCAGGACCATGCAGCAAAGCTGGAGTCTCAAATTAACAACCATATCTTAATGGGGTTGTTATAAATAGGCTTGTTTTTGAAAAATCAATAATATATATATATATCTCAAGATGACCAAGAACATTACCACGCACATGTGATGAGGAAGTTAAGGTGACGTTCACTCTTAAGCATCTGAACATTGAAATCTTCTGCACAATTTGCCGCAAGCCCTCCAAGAATATCCCACACATGAGGCTTGAGTACAGGTAGAAAGTTAGCACTTAAACAATCTCGTGCTATGGCTTCCAGTTCCTCTGATGACAAAAACTGATGGGACAGTAGTTTGATGTGGAAATCATCTATGAATAACTTAAGGAGAACACTTTCGATTCCTAGTTTCCAAAAGTAACTGTGATGCTTCCCTGGCCAACAAATGATCTTGGACACACAACATGCACCCTTAATCAAGGACATCTGGTCTTTCGAAAGCTTCCCTGAATGCAAGCTCCAGTTGCTCAATCCATGTATGATGGCTTTGACTAATGGCTCACAATATGATTCAATCATTTTTAATCGCCCTTCTTCATTTGCCTGAAGCAATTGAGTGATACACAACAGTTTATACATGTAATGACTAAATATAACACAAAATCAGGACTATATTAAAAGATAGAAGATGACTAATACCGCAAAACATTCAGCCAGTGTAAATCCAGCCAGCTGTAGGAAATTAGGGTTCAAGCTATCCATGCTTTCCACCATCAGTCTTAAAGGGGGTTTTCCACTATCTAAAAGCTTCTTAGCTCCATTACTACATAAAGCTGGTACCCGAAATTAGGGAGTCTTCAGAAAGCAAGTCTAAAAAATCAAACACTTAACAAAAACTTTGAATACCTATGGTTGAATACAACTGTAGAACTGCAGCCCTCACAGAGAGAATAGGCTCAAGGCTGAGAGAACCTAATACTTCCAGCAACCCATCGTCATTCCAAACACAAAATCTAGAGGAAGGCCAGCGCCACAGTATTTTACTCAAAAGAGAGATTGTCTCCAAGAAGAACTCAGCTGGCTTGCTCCCACCACACCGTATATGGTGGATGATATTATCAATTGTCTCTGTTTCCTCCAAGACTTTCCATACTTCTCTGTCTCTCTTAGAACTTAAATATGACAGGATCAAATTCAAAGCAGTGGAGCATGAAATAACCACTGGTACATGACAGGAAGACAAAGAAGATGATACAGGATGGACCACATCCAATACACAAGATTCAATAATTGAATTAGGTATAACATTGACCATTTTCACAAACACCTTTGAAGCCAACTTCATCACTGCTTCATTTTTCTGAAGAAGTGTAGTTCCCAATGCAGGAACAATATCAGCAACTGATTCCTGATATTTTGAACAAAAGACCAAACAAAAACATGTAAGCATTAGAATATAAACTTGCTGACCTGGTTCAGATATCGAATTCCTGCATCTAATTGTTGAAATCATGGTCATAACAACTAGTGCGGTAGGCGATGGCAAATGGTAATTATTAACATCAATACCAATAAGTATATTTTCTGTTGAAGTACCTAAGAAATGGATGGATAGTCCTTAACCTAGATTGATAATGATCTGTAAGTACCTTTATCAAAGGGTGTTGTGATGTGTCACTGGATATACAATCGAGAAAAGCATCAATGGAGCGAACAACATGCCTCTGTGTCTCAACATCCGTACAACACCATCTCCGTCCTCCCTCATCATTTCTGTGATTCATTACAAGCACAAGAATTAGTAGTTCCAGCATTTCATCTTGTAAGAGAATGGCATGGCAAGTCAGCAACCACAAATTGATCCAGGTAAATGGAATGCTAATGCAAACTTCTGTTACATCAGCATCACAACAATCAGAACTGTTTTACATGAGACCGACAGCTTTTTGAGAGTTTTTCAGAATCCATCATGTAGAGTTTTCAAGAAGATGTTTTGAGTTGGGATTGAAGCACATATAAAAGAAACTCCAGAAAAGCACTGCATATGTGGCCCTTTTCCCATTACGAACAGAATAAAACAATCACAAGTCCGATCGTTCTTCTCTAAAATCCCTAAAGTTTCCCACTTGGCAAATTTCAAAACCTCTTCAAAATGATTGACATAAGATGACGAAACACGATTTGACCAACATAACGAAAAACATGTTGAATCCTCAGTTAAGAAGAGAAATTGATCATTTTTACACATGGGTTTGGTAAAAAAAATGGAACTAAAAGAGGGAAGAACAAGTCAAGAAACCTGAGACCGAGGCCCAAAGCATTATAAAGACGGCTATGGAGGGTGAAGAATCGGCCGTTCAAACCTCGATTGTTCTCTGCAAGCTGCTTTGTTGAAGATGATCGCATTTTATCCTTCCGATTGCTTCTGGTTTGCGATTCAAGCTAGTCGCCTCAAATTTCTATCTTTTTTTTCTATGGTTTTGGATGTTTTCACCCTTTTTGCTTCAATTGGAACAATAAAACCCAATTTGTTAAAATACTGTTTTTAAATAAATCATATTTTTTATTTTATAAATATATATATTATTGTAGGCCCAAGATCCAGCAAATCCCCTTGGCCCATAAAAACAAATAATAAAGCCCATTCATCTAAACCCCTTTGGCACCCATCCGTGCTTAACCCCTTCGACGACGACGACCAGCGGCCGCCGATCGCCGACCATCCCTTTTCTTTGCAGCTCCGCTTCTGCGTTCCGCCTTATTCCAGTCTTCCTATAGGTATGTTCTTGTTTTTCTCTTTTTATTCCGTGGGTTTTGACGCCATTATTTAATATTTATCCGTTTATTATGTATTTCTAAAACCCTGCATATTCGCCGTCGGAGAGCAGAGCACATCTTTCATGCCCTCCGTTCAATTTCGCAAAGTCCGTATCCCTCTTCATATAATACTCAACCTCGAATACGAGCTAAATTAGTTAAAACCAAAGTCACCTAATTTCGTTACTCACTCACTCCCCTACAGAGGTCCTGGAGTTTTTTTTCATCGTGAGATTTAACAAAGATAATAAGTAATACTATTTGATTAGTTCTTGACATAATGCTATGATATATTTTGTTAACTGATGTCATCATCGTGCCTGTGGATAGTAAGCCTATTTTCTCTACATGTGTAAAGAACACTTCACTTGATATGCAACAAAAGGTTAAGTTCCATACAAATTTGTTCTTCTTTTTCCCTCTGAAGTTCCATTCTTTTTTCGTTCCTTTCATGAGTTATTTCTCCGTAGAGACTTTTTGATAATTGAACTTATTTCATGGCCATGTAATGTGTTGCACCTCTTGATTTTTCAACTGTAATTCTTTTAGTCTGGCAGCAGATTTCATTCAATTACTGAATTTTGTAGGGTCTGGAGTAGTCTTTAGATCTTTAGAACTTAGCATCATCACCATGGAAAAACATCCTTATCTCCTACAAGAAAATTGCAATTCTTCTTTAGTTTCCTGAATGTTGTCTGTGAATATGCTATCTTCTTCGACATGCAAATCAACAATCTTGTTTCTTTTTTTCCCCTTACTCCCACTACGACGACATAACTAATGAGGATTTTGACACAGGCATGTGTTGTTGAACCATGTGTTTTGGTTTATCCCGCATGTTTTGTTTTTCTAAGCCTAAAATTTCTTAGCCACCCTTCCCAATATTAGTGCTGAATTCTTGAAAACCTAGTCATAACTCATAATGTTATAGGCTAGTTGGCTGAAAAAGCAATCTGCTTTGGTGCTGGGACAAAATTGACAGGATGAAAATTTTGCCGGTTGCCTTTGCTTGGTTGTAGCATGCAATACATAATGCACACATGGCATTGATGTGTTTTGTTTACAAAACTTGCTGACATGACACAAACATGTGGCACTTATGCTTATTTTAATTGGAAATAAGTTTATTCCTTTTTTTATAACAATTTTAAAAGATACAGTGTACAAACAATAATGCAAAATGCATTTGAATTAAGACTGCCACCAGCATCGCCAACCATAAATGCCTAAACTTCCACACCAATTAATGGTCGAACTCAAGAAACTACAACTTGCGGTTCATTTTAAGAAAATTCTGCAATTGCAATGGAGCTCTGGTAAAGCTGCTGAAAGATCATCTATGGATACAAGAAAATATCGTTGATAGATTGACTCAGAACGGAATAATTCAATTGATTCCTAGTTGGATTCAACCAGTTATGAGGTCATTTATCCTAAAATAGTATGCTTTGAAGCTACAATGATTTTTATATTAATTAGTATGGTGACTAAATAAGAAATTTGGGTGACAAATGTTAACATTCTATTAAAATTAACTCTAATATTATAGACTTCTCTATCATTACAGGCACGCAACTTCTCCATTCATAAACATTGTACAGGTTATATAGATTTCTTGAAGGGTTTAGTTTGGCCGCAAGAGAGAGAGAGATGATAAGGGGAGGAAAGAGTTTTGTGTCTTCACCACCTGCATTCTCAAATGATGCAAAGAAACTTCTGGTTTGCACTGGAGACACCGTTTCCATTTTCAGCACTGCCACTGGTTTACAGGTTGGCTCATTGCCATTTCTTTTTCAAAGTTTTGCACTATATTTCATAGCATTTATTTTTCTAACTAAGAACTTGCAACAAGAAATCATTTTCTATTGACATTACTTGAGGATATTTATCACAGATATCAGAATTGGAAGGTCACACAGCACTAGTGACATCTGTAATAGTTGTACCAGCACCCACGCCTGCAAGCAGGATTTTATGTTATTGCTGGACCACTTCGCTTGATGGTACTATCAAGTACTGGGATTTTTCTGTACCCGAGTTGATGAAGACTATTAATATTCAGCTTCCAATCTATTCGATGGTAATTTTGTTGCCCCGTTTGTGTTTATTGTATTTGTAATTGGTCAAATAGTACCCTAGTTGTCTGTCAATACTGTGTGTTATTTTTTTAAGCTAACATTCATAATAAATCAAGATCTGTAATGGTCAATCTCCTTGCTGAGCTTGATAGTAGCTTATTTTTACAAGAGTGATACATGGACTCTTACCAAATATAAGAACTTTAATGCTGTTGTATCTTCAGTAGTACTTTAACGCTGTTCCGTTTGGTTAAAAAGAAACCCTGGGGATTGATCATAAGGAGAGCGATACTGCTTTTTGGCTGAGCTTATCTTTAGACTGCTAATATTTTATAGCTTGCAAGTGTTAATCATATAATGAAATCCGCAACTTGTTTAACTGTGTCTTTCAGGTGATTCCGTCATTACTATCTCAGAGGTCGGAGAATGATGTAAAGTCACCTGATATCTATGCTTATGTCTCTGTGGAAGATACCAAAAACGAACAGAATAAGCAAAGAAAAGAATTAAGTGGGCAGATTCTAAAGTGTAATTTGTCCAAGTCTCGCCTTGTTCGTGGAGTGATATTGACAGAGGTGGGCATCTCATTATAAATTTCATGTATATTCTCTGCAATGATGCATATTGTATTGCTTATTATGTAGCCATATCCCCTCCATCCCAGAACTACACACCCAAACAACTAATTTTGCCTTTAACATAAATGATTCTGAAGGGACTTTTACTTAAAGTAAAACATTTTAATTTGTTTTATAATTTTGTTTTTCAGGAACTGATAGAACTTGATAATGCCTTCTTTTCTTCTCTTTTTTGACCGAGTTCGTAATAACCGATTTTTTGCTATTTTTATTTTAATGTTGCTTGAAATGGATCTTGTTGAATCCCATATGATGTATGGTGATAGTATTAAATGTTCTATAAATTATGCTCCAAATCGATTTTAAAGACGCCTAGTGCTAAGATGACTCCCAAGTTTAAGTTTTTACAGGGAGCTAATATGGAATAACCATCATTTCCACATGAAAAGAATATGCTCACTCCTTACATTATAAGGTTTGAGCAAAATGGCTTCTTTGTTGGGTAGGAGGGTAAAATTTTTGCATTTATCAGAAGGCAAGCATCACAGTTTTGCCTTGTCTGTTTCATCGTAAGACACTTACTCATTCTGCTTTTTATATTTGTATTTGTTAGTCAGCCTAAATTGTATGTGTTCTTGTCATTTACGGTGTTTATGTTTGTAATTTTTACAGAGTAAAAAACCAGAGAACATAACCATCTCTTCAACTGGCAAGTACTTTGGCATTCATGAAAAGTGCCAACTTCGTATATGGGAAGTACCTGCAAAAGATCTCAAGAACATTACTCATCGGAAATTAAAACTATCACACACCAAGAACTTGTCCTGTCTTGCTTTTCATCCAACTGAGAGGATTGTAGCAGCCGGTGATGTGACAGGGAGAATTTTAATTTGGAGAGGTTTTGGTGGTAAGACATTTGCTGGTGATAACTCAGCAAATGGAAGACTATTGATGGATGAGGATGACAAACCTGGTGTTAGGGGTGATGGGGATGCTGATTCTTGCACTACGTGGCATTGGCATTCTGCAGAAGTGAAGGTCTTGTTCTTCTCTTCGGATGGAGCGTATCTGTATTCAGGTAAGGAAGAAAATTGAATTTATATGTTGGGACCCTGCCTTGTTTCTCCAAATATAAGTTTCAAATAAAATACCTTTTTGGTGCCTTTTTCTAGTCATGTATTTCTGTAGATTTTTTTATGGTTAAACTCTCATCTTGTTGCAACTCTTTTACCTGTATGTAGGTGGAAAAGAAGGAGTTCTTGTAGTATGGCAGCTAGATACAGGAAAGAAGAAATTCTTACCCAGAATAGGGACTCGACTTCTCCATTTTTTGAATTCTCCAGATCCTTCTCTTTCATCTGTAAGAAGAACCTTTTGTTGCAGTGGAACAAACTAGTAATCTTGTCTTCTGGTGTGAACTATGTCTTACTAATGTTCCTTCAGATTTCTTGTGCAGATAATCGAATTCATATTCTGAAAACGCCATCAATGGAGATTTTGAAGTCGATTTCTGGGATCAAGGTTTCGATCAATCAGATATCCATTTCCTTTCATGATAAAGAGGTTTAAATGGTTTAGAAATTCATTTCTGCCCTCTATTTTCAGCTTCCTTCTCCAGTCCCAGAGACGTTTAGAGACTTGTGTAATGATTTTGTATTTGACCATACTGCGGGATTGGTTGCTGTTCGCACAGAGAACTACTGTATCCAATTCTACAGCTTGTTTGATGATCGTGAGATATCAGAGGTACACAAGCTATTATGTTGTGTTCGTAGATGGCACCTTCTGCTTTTTAATCACTTTCTTCTTTTTATAAATATTAATGTTTTTTTCCTTGCCAGTTGCCACAAATTACTCATGCTAGTTGGAAAATTTTCTTTTGCAGGTTCAAGTCTGTGAAAGAAATCATCAACCAAGTGATGATGTCACGGTATGCCAATCTCTTTTCTCTCCCTCCACAAAATATCGGGTTATATTTTTTCTAGCAGCATATTGAATGTGAGATGAGGGCTCAATATTCTCTTCATTCCTATGTAAATTGGCTATGAAGAAGATGTTTTGGAAATCAACTTTTTGTGATTTTACTTTCTGGATACCTTCTTTTTGAAGTAAAAGAACAACCACTTACTCTCTTGGGGCAGAGGAAAGGTTTGCATACATCCTGCCCCCTAACTTTACCTCTGCATAGGATATACGGGTTATGTCTGGTTTGGTTTGATGTACATAGCCTTTCACCAATTAACAAGATGCAATTACACAACACTACTTACATCCTTTTGCTCATTTGACCTCCATATTGTTATTTACTTCAGTAAAACAAGCACCATACATAGTTGGGGTGTTATTTCTTACTGTCTTTTTCAAGAACCTATTTAAATAAAGCAACCATAGCTTTTTTTGTTTTGAAATGCAAATATTCTGCAATTTTAATCAAGCGAAAACACTATTCATTGTCGGGACAATCTTCCAATAAACATTTAAATATGTTTATTACATATTTGGTTGACTTGTACAAGAAAACATTTAAATCTTTTTGTCACTAAATGGATTCGTCTAGCTAAACTAAAAGCTCATCTTAAAATATTTAGTCTTACTTAGAGCCTTGGTGCTTACTTTATTTATGGACTGGAGATCAGGAGTTTTCTTCATTTGGTTATTGTGTTTCTCAGTATCTCCTGATATACAATATGTTAACGTATAATTTCTGAATATATACAAATTTTGACTTCATGATTGCAGATAATTTTGAATCTAGTTGCACTTTCATTTGAGGGCTCTGTGATGTGTACGGTTGAAACCAGAATGGCTGAAGAAGGGATAGGGGGTTTTATAACACTCAAGTTTTGGGAATGTGGGTCACAGAACAGTGATTTTAGCTTATCCACCGTTATATATGAGCCACACAGGTTATCTCTTGTTTATGACTGTCAGAAGTTCACATGTCTACGTTCTTCCATTGCGGAAAATCTTTTATTTCCATGCTTAATGAGCAAAAACTTGATATATTATGCAGCTGAAAGCATCTAGTTAGTATTTTTTCACCAGAAGCAACCCATAACATTTTATATACTTCTGATGGTATACAGGGAAGCCGCCGTCTCTGCAATTGCTTTCCATCCTACTCGTGGTATGGCTGTTAGTGCTTCTTATGGTGGTGACTTCAAGGTAAGATGACAAGCTGTCTTTATATATTTGAAGATGCATTTGTATAATTCTTTCAATTTTGCAGGTTTGGGTTGGCAATTGTGAAAGTCAGCAGAATGATAAATTGATTCAGAGGACTAGATGGGCATGTCATGCTGTTGGTTCATACAGGTCCGTCCTATCACGTTAAACTTTTATATCGAGGATATGCAAGAAGTTGGTGTTTAAAAATGACTGACACCCACCCTCGGCATGCATATAAATGTTAACAAATGGAATAGTTTAGTTGTCTTGTTTCTTGTACCAATTTGGTTCTCCATTGCAGGAAGAAACCTATGACAGCTGCTGCATTTTCTAGCGATGGTTCCGTATTGGCTGTTGCGGCAGAAACCGTTATCACATTATGGGATCCAGAGAAGAATGTTCTCGTGGCTGTAATCGGGTCTGCTCTTGAGGTGGGTCTTCTTGTTTGTGATGGTATCTTCAACGAATATTGGGACATGATGTTTCTTGTACCCTTGCAGCTTATAGTTAGTGTTTGAATTGCAATAGTTTCAATCCATCTATTAATCAATCTCACTCACGCGTATTCAATTTTGCCTACCAATCTCTTGCAGTCAATCGTAAATCTTTCCTTTATTGGAGAGTCCAATTTTCTTGTATCTGCATCCCATGGTTCAAGACCACAGCTTGCTGTTTGGAGTATGTCAAAGCTGTCCATATCCTGGTCATACAAGCTTCAAACAGAAGGTCAGTTTGTTGTCTCAGTTTTAAGGCATTTGTATCCTGTTCATATCTTGACATTTTTCTTACACTAGACCTCTTAATTGTGTACATGATATGCAGCTGTAGCATGTTCACAAAAAGATTCACTCTTAGCTGTTCTTGCTGTTCTTCCCGAGTCATATAAAGGTCAAGAGCACGATAAAACCACATTACATAATGCAAATGGGGTTATCTTACTATTCAATGCTGGAGATCCCATTCCTATTGCTTCATGGTTTGTGACAAAGGTAAAAAGTTGCATGACTTGCACACTCTCACTCTATTGGTTCTCCTATTATTTTCATGATGACAAGCTTAATATTAGAAAACTCGAAGGAGGTGTTCTATTTATATAGGCCCGGATTCTTCAATACGCAGGGGATATGGGAAGTGTGGGTTAGGGACTGAATGGAGACAACATTTAGGGGCTGTTGGTTGTTTTTCATTAAATCATGTATGGATGAAGTTGTTTGTGTGGATTAATCTGTCTGTATAGATTGGTAATTTTTTTGTTTGAGAGGTTTTTTTCATAGATGGAAGAAGGGTGTTATTTAATTGGAGGGACAAGTTTGGAAAAAACTTGGCTTTCTGCATAAAGCTCCCCCATAAAAGCTTACTGAATAAGCCACTTTCTATATCATTAAGCTACTACAAAACAGTCTTGTATAGCTGACCGAATAAGTTGTGAAACCCATTGAGCTCATTAAGCTGCTAACAGACAAGTCTCTAATATATTAACTTTTATGCAGGCAAAGGGAGGGGGGCTTGCATTTATTCAAAGTAGATCTTCAGGCGATAACATGGATGAAAATGATTTGCTTGCATATGTAAATGGGGATCATGAATACGCTGTTTTCAACCCACATGGCGCAGAGATGTACGAACGTAAAGTGAGGCACAAAGACAGTATTTCTGGTGAGGAAGGTACAGGTATGTTGAACCAAATTACTTGTGTTCTGCCGTCAATTAGTTTATAATAGTAGAAAGTATATATGCAAATGATGGTGTTTTGTTAATAGGTAATTTTGGGTATGCATCCATGTATGGGAAGCTACCTCTTACTGAGTTGAAGTTGAAAGCAATAGAAGCATCATCTGTAATGCCTTCAGAAAGGGCATGGGAGAGCATATTCAGCGGACCTTCACATAGTCTACCTCCTCTCACCAAACTTTGTTCTACCTTTCTGGAATCGTTCATGGAGAAGCGAAGTGTAACAATGGTAGAGTAACTGAAGCGGGCATGGAGGCGGATCGGTTGCTATTTGACGATGAAAGCCGTCTTGTTGCTACCAAGTTCTTGGAAAGGATGTCTCTGATTCTGCATCCAGAATCCAAATTTTGCAATGTGTAATTTATTTTATGGATAAAAGAATTGATTATGTATTTGAGTCGTCTACCATATTATTATATAATTAACAACCACTGCAAAGCTGGAATATTTACAACACACATTTGACATGCATAGCTTCTAAATATGTTTAAGGCCTGTTTGTCATCAGTAGTTTAATGATGGAGTTGCAGCTTACATTATTATTAATGATATAGAAAATCAAGTTTTTTTCATAACACTCTCTCTCTTAACAAACATGTTCTTTTCGTCTAAGAAAAATCCCTTCAAACAAAAATCTCTTGTATATACAACTAGATTAATCTACGTGGATAGCTTTATTCATATTGACTTCAATATCTAAATTGTTATATGATTCAGAACGATCAACTATAAATTATCTTAAATGTTTAATTAGAATAACCCACTTTGGGTTTCTTGTTGATCACAAATATAAAACTTACTGTTAAATTATCTTAATATTTGATTAGAACACAATTACCAAAATGTCTAATTAGACGTCCAAATAATATTTTTAAAAGAGGAAACTGCAATTTTCGTCCCTATGGTTTGGTGTTTATAATGATTTTACATCCCTATGGTTTTAAAACTGTTTTTGCCGTCCTATGGTTTGCATTTCATTTTGCTTTACATCCTTCATTCTTAACAGAGTTCAAAAATCTGTTAAATTGGGAGTAAATCACATGAACAAAAATCATAGTTTACTCTTTTTAAAGTAAAAGACAAAGGAGCAAACTTGATATCTTATTGGTTGAAGATAGATGTTTAAATGAAATTGAAATTAAAATAAAAGAGAGGGGGAGGGGTACGATGTGTTTTATATGATTTGCAGGGTGCAAACTTGATATTTTGCTTCTCTTCCTATTTACAGAGTTTTCACCCTCACCCTCACCCTCACCCTCACCCTCACCTTCCCGACGATAAGATGTTTCAATCGCTCTCCCTCAAATTGCAGATAACCCTCACCCTTCTTCTATTTCTACAAACCCTAACTACCACCTTCTGCAATTCCCTCATTTCTCCTTCAAATCTCTGCTAATTCAACTTTTTTTTGACTTTAAATATGGCTGTTCTGCTTAATTCTGTGCCTCCCATGACCAGCCTCTCCACAGAACACTTAAGAAAGTCTCAATTTCATTCCTTTTCCCCCAAAACTAGATTTTCCAGAGTCTTAGCATCTACCCAGGTAGCCTTAGCTTCAAAAGACGCTGTTTTTACCCTACCCAACTGGAGATCAGGTCGGACCGATCCAAAAAACAAAGATTACAGGCTTAACGATGCATTCTTGTATCTCGAATACATGGTTGGTAAAGGTCACAGACCTGATGTATATCATGCCACTCAACTCTTGTATGATCTTAGTAAATCCAAAAAACTTAGGAAAGCCACTAGGGTTATGGAGATGATAGTGGATTCTGGGGGTGTTCCAGATGCAGCTTCATATAATTTCTTGGTGAGCCAGTTGTGTAAGAGAGGTAATGTTGGGCATGCAATGCAGTTAGTGGAGAAGATGGAGGATCATGGATATCCAACACATACTGTTACCTATAACTCTTTGGTTAGAGGCCTTTGTATGCTTGGGAACTTGAATCAGACCTTGCAATTCATTGATAAATTGATTCAGAAAGGCCTGGTTCCTAATGCATTCACTTACTCAATCTTGCTAGAGGCTGCTTACAAGGAAAGGGGAGTTGATGAAGCTATGAAGCTGTTAAATGATATCATTTCTAAAGGGGGCGAGCCTAATTTGGTTAGCTATAATGTCTTGTTAACTGGGTTGTGCAAAGAAAATAGAATCAATGAGGCACTTTCTTTCTTTAGGGAGTTACCTTCAAAAGGCTTTCCTCCAAATGTTGTGACTTATAATATTTTATTGAGAAGCTTGTGTCGTGAAGGCCGATGGGATGAAGCAAATGAGCTCTTGGCTGAGTTGGTTGATGAGGGGTTATCACCATCTTTGGTTACATACAATATCTTGATCAGTTCTCTTGCTTTTCATGGTAGAACTGATAATGCCCTTAAGGTGCTCAATGAAATGTCCAAGGGAGAGTTCAAACCCATCGCTGCCACTTACAATCCGATCATCGCACGGCTCTGTGAAGAAAAGAAGGTACAAGATGTGATGAAGTGTCTCGATCTAATGACTTATAGGGATTGCAGTCCAAACGAAGGAACTTACAATGCCATAGCGGGGCTATGCAAAGAGGGTATGGTGCAAGAAGCTTTCTCAATCATCAATAGCTTGAGCAGTAAACAAAACTCCTCGAACCATGATTTCTACAAGAATGTGATATCAGGATTGTGTAGAAAAGGGAACACTTTTCCGGCATTTCAGCTTCTTTACGAAATGACCAGATATGGATTTGCTCCAGATTCTTATACTTACTCATCTTTGATTAGAGGGTTGTGTATGGAGGGAATGTTAAATGAGGCAATGGAGGTGTTTAGCATCATGGAAGAAAGTAGTTACAGGGCTGATATCGATAACTTCAATGCGCTTATACTTGGGCTCTGCAAATCTCAGAGAACTGATTTGTCTTTGGAGATTTATGAGATGATGATAAAGAAGGGGTATATGCCTAATGAGACAACATATACAATTATTGTGGAAGGGATTGCCCATGAAGATGAGAAAGAGCTGGCAGCTCTAGTCCTGAGAGAGCTACATTCTCGGCAAGTCATGGGTCGAAATACCGTAGACAGGCTTCTTATGCAATATGATTTTGAGGATTTCGCAGGGTAAATAGTATAAAATACATAGGCAAAATTGAACATGAATGGAGTATGCTTTCAGCAAATGTTATGGCATTTGCAGGTTGAAGGATGGAGATTTTGTTGTTTAAGTTGTTGCTTATTGGGAAGTATGAGGTATGCTAATGTTGTTTTGTTGATGATAACTTCACTAATAACCCGTGGTAGATTTTCGTTGAAACAACAGTATCTCTATTGTATTATATATCTCATCTAATATGGTAAAATTTTCATAGCTGTTTCTTTGGTTTTCAACTGGGATTCCTAATATCTGCGAGATGCTCATTACTGCTCAACTTTGGCAACACAAATGTCAGTTTCAAGATTCTGAGAGTATAATGTTGGTGGCAGGCCAAACTTATTAAATCTTGGTTTTGTTTTCAATCAGAATTACATTGATGAATCCATGAGTTAGAGGCCATGGAAAACATAATTTTATGAATTAATTTTACGAAATAGTCCCAGATATGATTCCTGAAGCAAAATGTGTTGTTGATCCTACAGCTATAATCAAACAAAAGTTGTGAATATGGTTGCATCATGGATTGGTCCTTGTCATACAATATCTCCCCATTTGATTTTTATCTCATCCACATCTCTCAGGTAAGGTTTTATGTTTGTTTATGATTTCTTTGAAGACATCATCTTGACATGAGGGCTTTATGGTCTTGTCTTGTGTTTGGATTGATCAGCTACAGCAATCAAAAGATAAATCTATATTTCATTTACAGATTGTTTGTGTTTCCTTTCATAGTTTAGCTTTTAGCACCAATAAGATTGGCATAGGGAACTTTGTTTGTGCATACACCACACATAACTTCATTTACAGACTGTTTCATGGTTTAAGTTTCACCTTGGTTTGGTGATACATACATCTTTATTTTCTGTTTAATTTCAGTGACAACTCATCCCTCATATGTTCAGTTCATTCACTCTTTACCTCCAAATGTAATGTTGTTATAACTTGTAACCCCACAAGCTACCCTTATGTTCTTAACTTGTATACTCGTGTGTGTTTTGTTCAGGGTTCATAATATCATGTGTATATTCATATTAGGAGAAGAAAAATAATATAGATTAGTATTATAAAAATAATTTTTGATTAAATATTCACAATTGAACTTATAAAAATATTTTCACAACCCGTGAGTCCATTATGATTATGAATTCATGAAAGATATAAATCTAAAGTCAAAAGTGTAATAAAAATTAAAAAAAATCACAGTCGCCTCAAAACACCATGGCATGATTACAGAAACATTATGAGTCATTTCGTAACGATGCCATGACGTGCCTTTTGGAACATTGATTTTGTTAAAAGAAATTGTTATTGGCTTACAATATCCATCAAAGCTTTATATTTTTGTTGTAGGCAAAAACACAATGATATAGTTATATATTTTTAAAAGAACAAATGATGACATGTGAAATTAGAAAAAGTCAAAAAATCAAGTTAAAAATATACAAATACAAAAAATCAAAAACTTTGAGAAAAATGAAAAAAAAAAAAAAAAAATCAGGCATTCATGACATCGTTACCTGTATCATCGAGGATCACCATCTTCTCTTTCCTTACCAATATGCTTTTCAACCAATAAGCAACTGAGTGATGATTTCTCCATCTTTCTCGAATCCAGCCTCCTGAAATTCCTTTCGATAGAGGAACAGCAGGAGCAGAAACATCAAGAAACGGGTGGCACCAATTATATCTCGTTAGCGACCCAGTACCTCCTATTTCTCATCTTCATCATCATTCTACCTCTCTTGCTTGGTATGGTATTGGTATATATATGCATTAGCATTATAGCATAGCTGTGATCAGTTGGGCCTTCGATTAATTTACATGGGCCATAGGCCCACTTTTAACTGATTTCCAAATTCCAAATTCCAAATTCCAAATTCCAATTGCCATTGGAATTCCCTAATCAAAAAGAAAATGTCCGACCAACGGCGACTGTGCGAATCCGGCGAAGAAAATTTACCCAATTCTCCCAAGGACGAAGCCTCTACTACTGCAAATGACCATCAGGAGGAGGCTACCACCGCCGTCTCAGCCGATTCTTCCATGTCTTCTTCAATGGCCAAGGGCTTGTCTTATACCATATCTACTATAATCAGGGATTTTGATTGTCAAGCCCAACACACTTCTCGAAGTCAAGATCAGCTATCTTCCGCCATCGATCGTCTCACCGACGGTAACTGATTTTATATCTACTCCAATTAGGGATTTCTAAAATCTTTTAATTTATTTGCAATTTCCTTGTTAATCATTGTCCTTATGAACATAGACCGCTGTTTCACACAATACTTGTTGCCAGATAATGACTGGATTGAGTAGGTAATCATCCATCTACTTCAGAGTTGAGATGCTTTATGAGCTCTGGGTAGATTGAAACAATAAGAATCAAGTTTGTAGTTTGAAATGTACTTCCTCACCTCCACAACAAGAATCAAGTTTGTAGTTTGATTCAAAGTAAGGGTCATTAATAATGCAATAACCTCAAATTGTCACACTTACATATTTCTTTCATTAAACCTTGCAAATTTGGCAGCAATGGTCTCTAGATATGGAGTGCTAAATTTGCCAGTCACTTAGCACAAAGTTGTCAGTCTTGTTATTCACTTCTCATATGTATCAAACAAAAGCCAATAGCGAACTACTATCTGATGCACCCAGCTTTTTCCTAAAAAGAACAAGAAATTTCTATCTTTAAATGTTCTAGGGAGCTTAAGATGTTTATAATCACATTAATTTTGCACGGAAAAGTAGCCTAAATGATTGCCAATGTGTGTTGCTTTAATATGAAACAGGTATTGGAGGGTGTTGTAGACCTAATAAGACTAATGCATTCATGATTCATGCTATGGAGAATGTTTGCTTAGTAAGTAGTTAACAAAAGCTTTAAGTTGGACCACAAGGGTGGTGCGTGATTGGTTTGAGCTTGGCTCCAAAGGTCAAAAGTACCAGGAGGTCCTGGATTCAAATCCAAGGAGGAATAAAAATCCCCTTGTGGCCACGGAGGTTCAAATACGGTGACTCCAGGCTATCTGCAAAGCAAGTGGTCGCCCTGGGATTAGTCGGCTCGCATAGCGGGTTGGATATCCAGGTTAATTAAAAAAAAAAAAACTTAAAGTTGTGTTTGGCATCAAGAATACTGTAATTGATCCTTATGGTGTGCCTTCAAAATGCGATTATTTGACTACATTGTTTCTGTTATTATGCAGAGTTGGATCAGCTTTTAGCAGATGCTCCATCACCTTTCATTATGCAACATGCTGCAAAAATTTCTGGTGTTAGAAAACGAGTGTTGTCGCTAAATTTAGTTTTGAAGTCCATACAACAGCGAGTTGACAATATAGACAGATTGGTCTCTGCTGGCTTGCCTAATGGTATCTCTAAAGAACAATTTTTCAGTTGCTCATTTGGTCATGGATTTTCATATGTATCTTGTTCCATCTGTTCAACATCATTATTTAAGTTTTGCTTCTGTTGGTTTATATTCCTTATTGCTTGCTTTAATAACGAAATATAATGATTTTCTTTGAGAAGGAGACTAGAGAGATTTATTCAACCGACTGAGGTTGGAAGTTTGATAGAAAACACACCCTGTTCGAAAGACATCCTTAAAGTTCTAGACTTCTCATGTAGCTGTGTCGGTGATGGTATTTACTACATGGTGACAGTGTTTTGTGTGTGGGGGTTCTAACTTTGATGTGAATGGTACAGACAGACTTTTTGTTCTAGGTGTGATATCATTATGCTCATATTTCATCACAAAAATAATGTGTAATTTTTGCTAAATGGTGAACAATAATATGGCATGAGTCATGAGGTTTATGTAAATCATATTTAAATGCTCTATCTCCTGTTCCTTTTGCCTTGATCATGTATCTGAACTTAGGTAATAGATGTTTTCCCACTTGCTGTGTCAAATTACTGAAGTTTTTGTTTTCACATTTGGCAGAAGAAATGGCCAGTGAAAGTCCTGCAGAACACTGATGGGGATTGTATCAAAGATTTAGAGGTAGTCATTACATTACCATCAATATGTTCCATCGACTGACTGCTTTAGATCACATTGCTATTGATTTCTTACTTGCATCAAATTCAAGGGAATAATACCCACTTGAATTTGTGTGTGTTGGGGGTACTCATAATATAACGCTCATCTTATCATTGCAATTTAAACCTTCAATCGTGCTTCTTATAGAATCGAATGGATAATCATTAGTCCTAATTTTCTTAGCTATAATTTGCTGAAAAAGTGATAGGGTATGGTGGTTGTTTAACAACCTTAAACCTAAAACCCAATCCTATGGTAGATGCTTTCTTTAATCTTGACCTGTGTTTGCTGTCCTACCAGACTATCTCCCCCTTGTTCTTTGGGTTGATAAGTTGGTAAACTAATCAAGTTGCTACCTTCCACACAAATCCATTAAATTCCCAACAAAACCCATGCTTTCTTTAAAAAAAACTTAGTGGATTTTTGCTATTTATACTTCCATCCTTTGTACATTATCTTCATCAAGTTTACTTGTCTCTACCTTAAAAAAGATACTGAATCCTCATCAAATCACAACGTTTTGAGCTTTAGCCATGCCTTCCACCGCCTACATCTGCATTTTTGTCCTTGCTGTTGCATTGCTTACAAGCAATGACATGTGTGATGCTTCACGTACTTTGTTGCAGGCCTCTCCAACCTTGCCACAACCACAAATTCCAACCATCCCGACATTGCCACAACCACAGATGCCCACCTTCCCGATACTGCCACAACCACAAATGCCCACGATTCCGACAATCCCAACCAACCCTACCCTTCCGAATATGCCCAAAGTTTCCTTACCTCCGTCGCCTTCGATGCCCAGCATTCCAACGATGCCAACCAACCCTACACTCCCTAACATGCCCAAAGTGTCCTTACCTCCGTTACCTTCGATCCTAACCATGCCCAACCTTCCAACATTTCCCAAAATCCCGTTTGTGGGCGGCCCACCACCTTCCAAGAAGTAGATTACAGACAAAGGTTGGTAGAGATGCGGGGATTTGGTTGCTTTAGCCGTCTCATGGGTCTTTACTACAATGTTTAGTATTTACTATACGTTATTGGGTTTTTTTACTACATATGACATTGGTAAGCCATATTACATGGTTGGTGTGTGTTTGTTATAGCTTGCTGTTTTCGGTTTATGTACTTATTCTTTGTTGTATGATGCTATAAGGATTTTTAATTGAAAGGGATCGTTTTCATCTTATTTATACAGATACTTAATGTAGGTTCAACTAAGTAACCAATTCTCAAAAACAATCAAACCTTGATGGAGCAAATAAGATCATTAATTTATCAGAAGCACTAGTACAAAACTATTAATTTTGTTAATGACATCCATCCTCAAATTTAGAGAAGATTGGAGGTTGAGATAAAAGTTGCATACATTCCGCCCTGCATTTGGGCTGTTTGATTGATTTTCTATTCATTTGTGTATAGATAAAGTAGTTTATGTGATAATAGTTGAGAAGAGTTTTTTCATAGATGAAATTAGTGTGTTTTTAATTGGAACACTTGGTTTTCTATATAAAACTCTTAATAAATAAGTCACATTTTATATATCATTAAGTCATTATCAAAGAGCTGGCCGAATAAGTTGTGCTGATAAACGAATAAATCATGTTAAGCCACTATAAAAAAAATCAATCGAATAACCTGGGGGAATTCTGCAATTAGTAAGTCATGGCATGGGTAAGCTATAACCTGTGTTATGGGCCTTTGTTGAGCCCAAAACAAGCTCAGAGTATTGACCCACCACTAAACCCTAGTGAATTCCTTGCCGAATGCCGATACTAGTGCTACTGCTGCGTCCTTGAGCTGTCATGGTGTTTGCAGGGTGCAGACGCTCCAGTTTCAACAGGTTCGGTATCTCTATGAGCATAGAATCCTCTGCTTCCCAATGAAATTTGTTTCTATTTGAACATGATCCCAGTAATAGGATTGGTTGCTCGATGGTGATCGACAGATTCATCATCTGATTGATTCTAGTTTTAATTTCCGAATCAAAAGGGTTTGGTTGCATTCACTTATTTGAAAATATATATATATGTATATGAATCAGGAGATATGGAGAGGACGGTGTTTGATAAAATATTGGCGTGATGATCTATCTACAACATTTTTTTGTAGTTTATTCATTAATTGTCTCATTTGCTTTGTTGATTGTATTTAAATCTAATTTTTGATTTTCGATAATTTGATTAAAATCAAGTATTGCTTATCTTATCTATGATTCAAATGATACCGATATATTTGTGTGAGTTAAATAAATCATGAGCATTTTTTTAATCATTATTGTACGATTTCTACTTGCTGATTAGTTTTGGCCTTCATATGGTATCTGATGCCTTTGACGATCTGCATCTGCATCTGGGCAGAAAAAGAAATGAAAACAGGCATTTGCGACACAATTTACTTGAATGACTGTACAAAAGTGTTGATATCCTTCACAAACACCACTCACCAATTCACATGATACGGCCAAAATAAGCTTTTTAAATGGTAATGGTAATGGTAATGGTAATGGTTGTAGTGGAAGAAAACCTGTTTTTATATGAAGTAAATAATTTCTACTGTTTTTGAACAGTATTCTGATTTTGTTGTTGACTTGACTGCCTCCATGGCATATATTCTCTGGAGTCTGTTTGTTTTGATTTGCAATAGTCATTGTTTTGTTGATGTTTGAAAGAGACGAGCAAATGGGAATGAATCCTTTTTGAAACAGGAAAAAGGAAAAGTGTTTGGTTTGATTTGATTTGATTTGATTCGATTCAAAATCAAAGTAGTTTGTTATGTTAGCATAAGTGGCATCTTTTGATGTTAGATTGGTTGCCACTTCACTCACCAGGAACAAATCTTCTTTCATTTCTCCAATATCTCTTTTATATATGTTGTTAATTTTGTTATCGAAAAGAAAAGAATGTTGTATAATAATAAATATATTAAATGTTGTTGATTTGATTTTTAATTTTAACGAAGCAGTTGTGATGTGATGCTAAAACTGAAAGATGTTTATCCTTTGGTTGGAACCAAAGCACAGCACAGCACAAATAAATATATGCATGCTTCCTTCTTTCTGTCTCTAGTTCTTTTCTACCCTACCCTTCCCACACTTGATAAGTTGCCTTTTGGTTTATTGAGAAGCTTATGCACAAGGAATCTTTCTTTCACCTCAATTTAACATAACAATTGTTTACTTTTTCTAAATCAAATGGCACTCATTCAATCTATGGCTTGTTTTGAGATTAAAATAGATTGAGGATCCAAATACCTTTATGAATTCTCATACCATCCTTTGTATGGAATCTGGATATATATATATATATATATAACTGAATCAAATATAGATATTCATATCTATGAGATATATATAATTAATTAGATGTATGTATGTATTGTATTTGAATTAAATAATGGTTATTTAAAAGGGAACTAAAAATGAGGAGACAAATTAATATTCCTCCAAATAAAATAAAAATAAAATAAAATAGAAGAGACAGCATATCCATGTGGGAGAATTAAAAGTAAAAATCACCTCACAGATACTTCCCATGTACCTTCCCTTTCCAACAAAAACCCACTCTCCTCTTTTCCCTTTTTTCTAATTTTTGGTTTGGACTTATTATGCAGCACTTGTGGGCCCCACCTCATCTTCTTCCTTATTTATATCATTTCCCCCACTGCTAAGCGCTAACCCCTGCTGCTTATCCACCGTCAATTTCTCCAACGTACCCATCCCCTCTCCTCTCGCATGGCTTCCGCTTGCATAAATACAAATTTAATGGAATGTTCTCAGACCTACTCTTCCCACGCTTGGTTCAATCCTCGGCGCTCCTTAGGCCGCCGCGACGACGACCACCACACATCCAACACCCCCCTCAACCAACCTTCAGATCTACCACAGGAGTCAGATCCCAAAGATTTTGATGGTTTCCAGTTCAGACTTGAAGATCCAGCTATGATGCTCCCCGCCGACGAGCTCTTTTCCGACGGTAAGCTTGTTCCACTCCAATTATCACTCATCCGCCACCAAGTTGCCACCTCAACAACTAGCATCTTGTCTCGTGTTAGCTCTCCAGATACACCCGGCTCTCACCGGACAACCGACGATGTCGATGTCTTTGCCGCTGATCCCTACTTACTTTCTCCTAGAGCTCCACGATGTTCCAGCAGGTGGAAGGAGCTTCTCGGTTTTGGCAAGACTTATCAAAGCACGAATGGCATTGTCAAACAAGATACAAACAAACGGACTTCCTTCACTGCTTCTTCTCATATCGGTACCGGAGCAAGCAGGTCCATCAGACAGTTTCTTCACCGGAGCTCCAAATCTGCAAACGATGCGTCTATGAACCTTCCGTTGCTCAAGGATGCAGATAACGAGTCTGTGTCTGTGTCAGTGTCATCACGTCCATCTCTTTCTTCTTCCTCCTCCGGTCATGATCTGGACGACCTTCCTCGTTTGTCTCTTGATTCCGATAAGCCAGGGAAGGTGAACCTGAGTACAAACCCTAACAATCGTCTGAAATCGAGAATGGTGAAAACGAGAACGCAGTCAACGGAATCGAGATCAAGCACGCCCGTAGGCAGAGGCACGATGCGTCGTCCAACGGACCCCACAGTGCGTGGCGTGTCTGTGGATAGTCCTCGAATGAACTCGTCGGGAAAAATCGTTTTCCACAGCTTAGAGAGAAGTTCCAGTAGTCCAAGCAGTTTAAACGGTGGACCGAGATTGAAACATAGGGGAATGGAGAGATCGTATTCGGCGAACGTAAGAGTGACACCGGTTCTAAACGTTCCGGTTTGTTCACTTAGAGGTTCGTCCAAGTCGGGCGGTATGTTTGGGTTTCCGATGTTCTCATCGACACAGTCACAGGCAGGACAGAAACGTGAAGGTGGCGGAACAAGCCGGAGTCAAGGATATAACGGGAAAGGTCGAACAGAGAGTTGTTAGGATGGGATGGGGATCCGTTAAGCAATAGTAAAGTAGGTGTGTAGTGTAGCATAATTAGTTTTGAATGTAGTGTTGTTGATTTATTTCCATCATCCCGTTCCATTCCAATAGATGGTAATTTGTATGGTTACTTTGTGGGTAAAAGGAATCTTGATTGAATTGAAAAGAAGCATGTTATCACCGCTGGATATCTGCACAGCAGCAGCAGGCAGCAGGCAGCAGATGTATAATAGACGGTTATTGTGTTGTGTTGTGTTTAAAATAATAAATAATAAATAATAATAAAGGAGGGAGGGTGGGTGGGTGTTTGGAGTTTGTGAAAGGATGGATGGTGACAGTTTATACATATATATATATATATATATTATAATATAAAAATGGTGTCAGGGAGAGGGAGAGGGAGAGGGAGAGGGAGAGAGAGGGGGTTGAGTTGTCCACCGTCCGCCTCCGCCTCCGCTTCTGCTTCCGCTGCCACCTACCACCGTGGGCTTGCATTGAATTAAAATGAGAAGACAAGTGAGGGGAAAGGAACAGGAACAGGAATTGGAGAAGAGGGAAAGGATGGGGTTGTTTCAGTGGTCGTTGTCTGAAGCTGAAGGATGAGTCATGTCTCGCCAGCTACATGCCCATACTTTTCTTTAATATTTATTTTCATATTTTCTTTATTTTCATATTTTATTTATTATACAACAATATATATATATATATATATATATATGTTAAGTTTATGAAAGAAAAAGAATGAAATTGATGGTGAGTGTTTGACCCCTTGAAATTTGAAAAAGTTGTCTTTTTGCTTTCTACTACCATTTTGCTTTGCTTTTTTACTTGATTTCTTTTTTTAAAGATTATATTTCAATTCCAAAACCAAAACCCTTTTAACATCCAATTGATTCCCTCAACTACCATAACACTTCATATTCTTCAACCCAAACCCAAACCCAAACCCAAACCCATTTAAAGACTCCTGCTGAAGCCCGTGGCTGGATTCAGAGCGCTCTCCATTTACCAGCTTACTACTTGTTAAAATCTCATAAACATGACAATCTTTTTTGCCTTTTTACATGTATTTACCCCTCCTAACACACACTTAGTTTCATAGCTATTTTTTAAAATCATATTTCGTACGTCTTTTTATAAATTGGTGCAAACCCAAGTTTAAGACAAAAGTCTGTCTATTTTTTTTATAGAGATTGATAAATATACATCAACTTACATTAAAATTATTATATTAGTTCAGCTCTCTTAAATTTCGTTTTTGTTTTGGGGGCAGCGTGAACCTCCTTCACTCCCCGCCTCATGCTCATCCAACAATTTCAACCTCGTATTATAGCTTAATTATCAATGTTATCGTGCTTGCTAATGCTCCTATACTTGGAACTTTGTTGTTTGCTTATTGTACCCATTTCTTCCTCATCCACTAAATATCCTCCATAAATGGCATCAACCAATATAACTTTGGTTTCTCTTCTGCCCTTTCATCTATGTTTAAAATACATTGGAGCCAAACTTATCATAGTCCATGATAACTTGGTTGCTTATATTGAATATAATATTTTTATCATTGGCATGTCCCTTTCTTTAAATCCTTTTTAAAGTGTTTCACGACTTTTACATAAATTTGGATATTTGATCTATTTTATTTTGCTTTTAGAACTTTTATATAAACATAGAAATTTTATATCTCCTTTTCAAAACGAGTACAAAATAAGAACACTGATGTATGAGATTTGTATATGCATGCAATCGCAAACTGTTGAAAAGGGTCTATTTAATTGAATTTACACACGGCTTTATAACGATAAAGTTGAAAGTCATGGCGTTTTATACATTAAATCAAAATTAGTTGGGTTAATGTTTTAATTTGGAATATATTTGTGATTAATATTTTTTTAAAACCATAAACCCTTCGAACTTTTAGTTTTAGTTTACAAGAACGATAAAACAAAAGGTATTATATAAATCGAAATATTGAGTATGCATTATCGATTTTTACATGATAATCTGACACTTTCTATGTTTGAAAAGTTAATAATTATTAGAAAGTAAAAGTCCAGATAATTTACGATATAATAAATATACACACACCAAATATAAAAAGTTATATATAGAAAAAAACGTGTATGTAGGCACGCATACGCGCACACACACACATGTATATGAAAAGGAATAAGTTCGAGTGGAATGAGTAAGCGGGTTAAGACTTGCACATAATGGAGCAAAGGGAGGTTATGAGCCTTAAGAACTAGATCTGAAATTCTATCCAACTCCTCTGATCAATTCTTGATGGTCTCGGTTCAAAACTTTTAAAAACAATCCCGTCCTCCACAAGTTGTGCAAAAGAAGTTACGATTCTTTTGATTTGGACCTAACAACTCCTAGTTCAATCATAACCGGGCCCTTTTTGTCGTATACATTCTCTAACTGGATCCAAATCGATCTTTCGTTGAAACCTAATAATTGGCTATAAACTAGACTTGAGGACCAATGTTAAAATGGTGTTTGGTCCAAAAACTTTCAAGTCTTGTCCTTGTGTCTATCCATCTAGGACCAGATTACAGGGTGTATGGGAGGATCATCACTCAATAGTCAAAGGAAAAGACAAACCCACCCTAAAAAAAACATAAAATCATATACCTTCAACATCGAAACTTACTTTTTTACATTTTTAATATATAATTTGACATGAAAATATACATAAGAGTTGATGAACAAACTTTTTGGATGTATAGAGTGTAAAAAAAAAGCAACACATTTTATTACATAGTTGGGGTAGATCATTTCCTTTTTCGGCAAAGCATAATGTGAATTATTTACCACCCTTCACATGCTTTTCACTCCGTCTTTATTCTTTTCGTAACGCTACAAAGTTGTATGGTTTCAACTCAACAAAAATAGGTGATGCCAGGTACCAATCGTGTAGACCGTAAATGATAAGCTCGTATCATAGAAATGCTTAAGTTCGACCAACTGACTATCATTATAAACAACTGAATGATTCAGAAAACTTTGAGGCCGCAGCCAATCCACTTAAGATTGCACCTTCGACATTTGGGCTCACACAAAAGTCCCCACAGATTGCAAGTTTCTTTGTTCTATCCCATATGCATTTTTCATCTCTTGCTATACTTGTTGCTGGAAAAGCACTGCCCCTACATCACCATGCACATAAAAAAATCAATCAATAATCGTAAAAATATCCAAAATCCGCTTTACAAAGAGAAGTTGCACATAAAAAATCAGAAATTTAGAACATTTAGTGACATTGTCTCTTCCATCAGACCTTCCCAGACATTGTCAAACTCAAGGATATACACATTTGGAGCTATCAGACTGGCCCTTACTTCTACCAACAGCCAGGTAATTTGGTACACAAGAAGCAAAGCCAAAAACCCACCATCCGAAAAGAGCGAGAAAATAAACTTATGGTTAGACTACTTAAATATCAAGTGAAAAGATAAGACAACAACAAAAGGATATTTTTCAAGCATTATTTCCAAATGTCAACTTGAAATCTAAGTCAACTTAAGCTGGAAAATGTGCTAAGCACGTCAGAGGAGATGATCACACTAACCATCTGTGAGCTTTCTTGAAAAATGGCACAGAGACATCGAGTCCAGTCCTCTGAAATTCTCCAAATAGTTCTTCAGCAATTTCCGCCAATGCTGCATTTGAAGGCTTCTGAAGTCCATCCCGAGCAATAATACCTTCTGCATACTTCTCTGTTGAATGCAATACCCATCGTTCACTGTGGCAGTAAAGAAGCAAAAGGATGTAACACTTTAATGAGGTACACTATATACTCCCTCTCTCTCTCTCTCTCTCTCTATATATATATATATATATATATTATATATATAGAGAGAGAGAGGGAGGTTCGGGGGAACCCAAAAAATGAAAACCTGAGAAACGGTTACCACAAATTGCACAAATTGCTTAGAAATTACTTGTATGCACATGCAGATGAACGGTTACCACGGTGTTCCTCAGTATTTATTTTTTTGCGGTTTTCCCTTGAACCTAACCCTATATATATATATATATATATATACATATATATATATAGAGAGAGAGAGAGAGAGGTTCAAGGGAAAACCTCAAAAAATTAAAAAACTAGGAACACCCTGGTAAACATTCATCTGGAATGGTAATTGAAGTTGTTGCTTGGTTTTTATGCACGTGTGAATACCAGACAAATTGCTTAAAATTACCAATATGCGCATATGCATACCGTCCAGATGAACGGTTACCAGAGTCTTCCTCAGTTATATATATGTGTGTGCGTACTTCCCAAACAATGCAATACCCACCATTCATGTGTTAATGAAAAAGCAAAAGAATGTAGCACAAAAACAACATACATAAATATTTTTCTCTCTAATAATGTGCAATAACGATAGAACAGAAACAGACCTGGAGGTAGGACGTCCTGGCTTACTGCTGTCACATATTGCCCATTTAAGTACTTCAGAATTCTCAAATGAGAAGCCTTTAATTGGTATCTGGAGGAATAAAAAATAAAAGGGTATATCAAAGGCTTAATAAATTTTAACAGAATAATGGCAGTGAACAGTAAACATGATTGAAATTTAAATTTTATGAATTGGGTTATGTTGGTCAGGAGCAGATAAATGAGTGCATAAAGATGTGAGATTTGCATAAGCAAAATTATGGAAGATTCAATAGAACATCTCAGAAACGTAGAACAGAAATCTAACCGAAGACAAAGGAGTTTCAAATGCCAACATGAGGGCGAAACATGGTCTAACAGGAACTTCTTTAACCATGTTAGCTATCCCCGGTATAGCATCCACGTCTATACTTCAAAGGTAAAAGAGTACTAGGTTATGATACAGCATGTGACGGTTTCAAAGTAGATAAGCATATAAATTCAAGAAAAACAATTAATGGCACGGAATCTGCACTGGCGGTTGATACAATTTGTAAGTGGAATGTATATTTTAGGTAATTAGCTCAATTTGTCTCTTTGTGCTGATGATTACTTGGATTTGATAAGTTTCCCCGACCGGATTATATATTAGTTGCAATATATATATATATATGTGTGTGTGTGTGTGTGTGTGTGTGTGTTGCATGACCTAACCTGCTTATTCTCAAGCAGAGTTGGTTGAGACCATGATATGCAATGGATTGACCTTCTAGATATGGTCAGCTTATATCACAAAGGTTTGTTGTCGCTGATTATCATTATTGATTGGGCAATAAAACGGTTTCTTATCATTATAATTTGTTGTCGCTGTTTAAAAGAGCAATAGCACAAATTATTTGATTGAGAGTTTTAGAGGCCATCATAAAAACAAAGAAAGCGAACATGTTAAGAAGGCATTAGCCGAAGGACCAGATGATGCAAATATATTATGTTAAAAAGGGAAATCCTAAACAATATCCAGTATAGATGAATGCATACAATATATATGAGTAGGTTGAGAATTCAAATTGATTAGTTACTGGCGAAAAAGAAAAATAATATAAAATGAGCAGAAAGGCGCCCATTCTGTGCTTTCGTTTTTAGTATTACTGTTGTTTTCCCATCATTTCCCCATTGAAAAATGTAACAAATAGAAGTTACGAAATAAGTAGATATTTGTGTTTCTTGAAGAGCAGAGAAAGCGAWCTTTTCTCTTGTTTGGTACTAGAAAACAACTTTTACTTGTGTGGTTATGAAATAACCCGATATTTGTGTTTCTTGAAGAGCAGAGGAAGCGACCTTTTCTCTTGTTTGGTACTAGAAAACAACTTTTACTTGTGTGGTTATCTTACACCTCGATCACAAAGGGGTTTTAACATTGTAAGTATTGTGTCAAGATTTTGCTCCTTCAGATATAAAAAAGAGAGTTTGTTCATGCAACTATAAATAATGCAAGATTTTTCTTTCATTATGACATCACGATTATAAGTTCCCACTATTTTTGTTGGTCAATGGACTTGTGCCTATCATTCGTGACTAAGGGACAGAATAAATAACTCAGTGTCCTTCTTAGAGCTTTCATGCTGTTTCAATATGATTAAACATATGGTCATGTAAATGTCACCATAAATGGTTTAAATGTTTGACTTAAAGAGTTGCAACCAATCAGAACAAGAAAGATAGGGAGTAGCTATACCAAGTGGAGGTGGCTTCATAGTGACTTGTGTCGACCTGTGAGAAAATGTGCTCTTGTCTGCTGCTATCACCCCATTGAACTGACCAAGATCTTGTCCATCCAAACCTATTAAGGACCATGAATCCTTATTTTCCAACCACTCCAATCTCCCAACCATGACCCCGAATTTACTTTCAATGCCTGATGAAGTGGGTAAGTAAGACATCATTCTAGGCTAAGTCTGCAAATATGGTACAGTTATAAAAAATATTCTTGGTACCAGGTTCTTGGCATAAAGCTCTGCATATAGAATTCATTCCTGGGATGCCCACATATTTCTTGCTTAATCCTTCCTAAATGAGCAGCCATTTAGAAAAAGTAGTACTCAAAGAAATGCAGAGCAAGGTATTACAAGAGCTTGGAGAAGAACAGATGCACTAACAGTATACCAACTTGTAACACCCTAAGCTTTAGAAAATTTCTAGCAAAAGTTCGGCATGATCCATTCGTAAAATCATGGTCTGACATCTTTTATAACCTGTATGCATATGTATATAATGTTCCCAAAAGATTATGTATACAAAAGCCACATACATAAGTGTCGGCAAATTGTTTAGGACTATCAAAGTCTGGAATTTTAACTGAACTCCAACCACAAAAAACTTTAACATCATTGGGAAATTTTCTCATGCATCTGGTCAGGGAACAAAAATGATATGCTGGGGCAATATCAATCGACTGAATGGCTATAGACTTGTACCATGCTAAGAAACATGGGTAGTTCTAGCAACAGAGCAAAGCAGTTCAGATGTGGCTCTATTGTTTATTTCAATAAAGAAAAACACCATGGTCAAATATTCTATAATGCTACACAAAACCGATAATTTTTTATGCGCCTTGCCTATGTCCATAAATATGTATATAACGATTTGATAATAGAGCAGTATTTATACACATCCTGTGTATAACTAATTCAATCAATGAATGAGTATGTACACATGAAAATTTAGGCTCTGTCATGTGGGAATCACTGTTTATTACAATATCAATCAAAATTATCAACTTTTTAGATGTATGTACACTATATATGGATGACCAGAGATTTGCACATCATTCTTATAAGCATGTGGATGAAGATATCTACAAAAGAATAATTGAGACTTGCATAATGTGCATATAATACTTCAAGCTGCACCAGCTAATATACTGATTTAAAAACTCAAAACAGGACTTGAGACAAATAAGGTGGCCAAGTTGCAATAATAAACTATATAATCAAGGAGAAGTAAACCTTTTCGAAGTTGACAAATTTTTTAGTAATGAAATCAAATGACCCATAATTCTGTTTCCACTCAGCAACAAGACCTCTTGCTTCCCAAACCCTAATCATCTCCTCCACGTCGGTGTTAGTTGTGGTAAAACAAGGTGCCCCATGGTCAAAATATAGTTCCCTCCCATCTTCAGCAATTTCTCTGCAAATTACAAACGTTTTCTTGTGTTTTTTCTCATTTGCGAAAATGTAACTCCTTCCATTACACGATCAGATTGGGTTCTTGTTTACAGGTGTAGATCGAGTATGATATTTCATAAATTGGGCTCCAATTGTGGAATATAATATAAGTAATTAAGAAGATCGTGATAAGGTTAGGTAAAGAGAATAACACCATGGGTACCTTCTTCGAGACATTCGACCGCCAGGTCCCCTAGCGGAATCGAAGATGGTGACCGAAATGCCACTTTTGGCCAAATTGAAAGCGCAGACAGCTCCTGAAACTGAATCGTTTCACAATTGGATTGGATTAGATGGGAACAACAAACACACACACTCTCTTATATAAGCGTATGGTTGCAAATTACGTAGTAGTATGAAAGAATGATGGGAAATGAAAGATATTTGCTCACTTCCGGCACCGATGACGGCAACCTTAGTAGTTATTGGATTCATGATGCACCCCTTTACATAACGAATTTCTCACTATATCTTCATCTTGTTTGTTTGTGAATAGCTAAACTGTAAGGAGCTTAATGGACTCGGTGGGCTTATTCCGTAAGTTCTCCTCCTACCAGTTTAAAAATAGACTTCTCCCATTTAAAAAAAAAAAAAAAAACTTGTCGTATTAATCCATAATATATATATATATATATATATATATATATATATATATATATATAAAAGTTGTCTATCAAAGCAATGTAGCAGGATATAAAAAGCTCATTAAGATTTTATTCAATTTTGAGATATCAAATTTTTTAAATATGTAACAAAGCTATCTACATTTGTATCTAATTTAGATTCAAATATACATTCATCTAAAATGTTGGTGTTAGTAGGTTCTACAATTATTCATAAACCCTTAATCACAACCCGACTGACTGGAGCGGTGGAGCAAGATACAAGTATTTGCCAAGGACTGGAGCAGTGGAGCAAGATACTCGACCCAAATCACAACCCATATCGAATATATTGAATCAAAGAAACCCTTAAAAGCAAATGGGTTTGTTAATGTATACAAATATTGTAAATGTAGATCCGAAGCTCCGAAATGTCAACCTTTAAAATAAGCAGCTAGCTCAAACCCTGGTAGTAACATGGAAAGCCAAAGGAAGACCCTTGTACAACCATGGAAGCCAATGGAAAGCCAAAGAAAGACCTTTATGTAAGGGTGTCGGTGCAACCGGAGGAGAGATGGTGAGGAACGACGGAGGCGAGGAAGAATGTAGCTAGTGGCAATGGAGGTAATTGAGAAAAAACAATCGTGAATTATGAAAATTGAGGTTTACATTTGAAATTTGAAATGGTAAGAGAGTTTTTGATGGTAAGATGAAAAGCTTGGAAACATAAAGTGTCAAAATTTGAAAGGGGTAGATGGTTTAAATTTTCAATGTCTATTAGGAACCAAAACTAAATATGTGAAAGATAAAACTGAAAAAGTATGAAGCATTGTTGAGTCGTATCATGTGCATAAATGAGTTGTAATTAAGACTTCATGCATAACGAAGCAATACCTTATGCGTTTAAGGTTGTTTTTTAAACTTTTATCAAATATGCTTTATAAGGTAGTATAGATATAACTTGAAAATCCAACCAAGCCACCCCTCAATCTTTTTACCTTGTTCTTTTCCTTCCTTATAATGCGTTAAAACCCGAATTGAAAATTGCACATAAGTCATAACATTTCCTATTTCTATAGGTTATCTTTAGATTAAATAAAATAAATGTTTAAACCGATCAAATTAAAATGTGAATCAATTATGATAGAGTTTAAAGATCTGATAAAATTGATGTATTGAATCCAATGAATAATATAATACCCCAACAACCACTCACAAACATTATATATGTTCTAAATAATTGGTTTTTATATGGCAAACACAATTGAAATAATAGTTGACCATTATAAACATCAAGTTGCAACCATAAACGTAATAAACTACACCACTTAGAAAATGTTGGTTCCATCAAAGATACAAAGGCATCGTGTTTAATAAAAGTAAACGACATTCTATTCTATTTCTATTTCTATCCATAAAGAATGTTTCGATGTCGATATGTATGAAATTTTCAAGACTTATTAATATATACATACAATCACTATATATATATATATTATATAGAATATAATGACTCCATTCAGTGTTTAAGAAGAATTGTAGTTAAAAAAAAAAGGTTAGGACTTGCCGAAATAACAAATTACCACGAAAAATAAACAATCTTCAAGCTTTAAATAAAATTGGACCGATAGGAATGCTTGTTAACAAATAATCATTGGTAACATAACTATTATCATACAACATATTAAGTCAATGTCGTGTTTATAAATGATTTATTTGAAGGAAGGACGTAAATGATATGGATACAAAAGTATTAGTTTTGATCAAACCAACAACCAATTAATTGGCGGGACCAAGTTGAGTTTTGAAAGAAAAATATTTGTTTTTATATCCATGTCAAATGTTAACGCATGGATTATACAAACAAATAATTATTTAATAATAGACTAACAAATGCAAGTACATGTAATTACAAAAAGTAATGTTGGTATATCGGCTGGTTCCTTACTTAATGAACAAGTGTTTTTATAGTTTTTAATTTTAAAACATAATAAACCCGAAATAAAAAGTTAAAAAAAATATAAAAATAGGACTCAAAGCCACATTTGGAATTGGATCACATAAATATGCTATTTCACATAAAATGTAAGGCCATTCAACAAAACAATATTCATCCTATTATGTCCCTAAGTAGAAGCGGATATCGATGAACCTAGAAAAAGTATATAAAAAATTGAGGTGATATATAATCTAAATTAATAAAATATGTAGAAATAATTATTTTTGTTTATTTTTAGAAGAAGCAAACACTGCAATGCCAATAATAATAATAATAATAATAATTGACTTTTGATTAATTAGCAATAAAAATGATACAATTAATAATAATAATAATAATAATAATAATAAATATATTACTCAGCAGCCTCAACTCAAGCCATGGTTATAGAAAAGGTCTTCAACTTCCACCTCCACCTCCTCCTGCTTTCTTCTTGATTAATAATTAGTTTTACTCTCTCACGGACCTCAAATGCCCCTTTTATGCCTTTTTCTTGCCCCTTCCCCTTTCACGAGCATTGCCTGCAAAAGTGACCCAAAAGTTCTAGGGTTCCGTCACGGATAAAGGTCAAGCCCCCACCCCCTTTCTTTTCTTCTTCCTCCTTCAGCTACCAAATCTCCTCCTCTTAAATTTCTTCCCTTCTTTCAAGATCCGACCACTTATCTGTATGGGACAGCCATCTCCAGACTTATCCTTTTAGTAGCTGCCATCAAGACAACTGCTTAAACAAATATCACCCATACTTCACTTCCATGTATACCCATGAGGTTCTGCTTTCACCGACACCTGGGATTCTACTCGAAACGGGAATGTCAAGTATAACCCTCTGATAAATCTAGAGCTTTTGCACAGTTATGGAAGACATCCTGTTACTTAAACAGGCCTGGAAATGGTTGCTGTCGGAAAGCCATTGTTACTCCGTCGCTGCGATGAATGCTGCTCGTTCTTTCAGGGACAAAATTGGGATTTCTATCGCTCGCCATTGGCCTAGTGTTTGCTGTGGTTGTTCAAGACTGGTTAAGCTATTCTGCTACTTTCTGATTCAGTGGAAGGATTGTTTTGTTCGTGGATCTAGATCGCTTTTTGGGTTGGGTACTGCTGCCCTTCTTCTTATCATATGGAGCTGTTTTCTTAGTTTGACATCAATGTCCTGCCTTCTTTATGTTCTTTTAAGTATGGTGAGTTTATAAATCTTTCCCTTTCAAGATTTTGTGATTTTTGAATTGCTGCCATGAAATCCCTTTGGTTCTTGAACGACATTATATATATTCCAGCACTCATGAGATCGATGGACTTTCTTATCACTAGATTCCTATACTAGTATTGCTGTTTTATTTCATAGTTGTAGATAAAGATTCATCAAGAAAATGTTGTCATACCTAATTATTTTGGACATTGGTCCATAGGAATTAACCTGTTATGTATCGCATAACTCTTTAAATTGCTGTCTAGGTCATGGCACCAGCTAAAACCTCAACTCTTTTTTACTTGTGATGATGATGATGATGAACTTAGAGGGAGCTTGGAGTTTACCTAGTATGATGTGCAAAAAGATTAAAAGAATCAAGGACCATTCTTTATTGAAAAATGAAAAAAGTGTGTAACTTATAGCATCAGAACAATGACACTTATTCCTTTTTATATGCTCAAGGTAAGGAAAGTAATTTGTTTCCAAAACTCCTATAGTAGTTGAACACATAGTCCTTCAAGAATCACAAATCTTTCCAGCCTTCCTATGTCAGAAATCCATGGGACTTCTTTCGTGAAGAGGGGTAGGATGAATAATTGCAAGTTTATAAAAGTAAACTACTAGATAATCAGAATCACAGGGGCACAGAAGGTAGTATTACAATTTACAACATATATGTTGAGTTAAAGGATATCTTTTTTCTGTGTTTTGGTTAAGAGAATGTATAATATGCACCAAGTTTTATCCCTTAAAATACTCTCTTTTTTTAAATTGAAAGTAGTAATAGTTCCAGATAAAGCACACAGTGTACAAATCTTGATTATTATATATCAAAATATTAAGGATGCTTCTCTTCCCAATGCATCCCAACTGGATGTGTTATGCATACAAGGTGTAATAGGAGTAGTATCAAGAGGAGGGAGTTAGAAGAGCTGAAGAGGTATGGGTGCTAATATCAGTCTTGGGTCTTGGCAGTAGATATGTGTGTGAGAGCATGACCTATATGATATCTTCATATGCTGTCTATATGTAACATAAAGTTAAAACTTTATCTTCTTTAGAGCCTTTCAGAATTTAAAGTGTTATTTTTCCATATAAGCCAAACAGTGTACAAAATCTTGTTCCTAAATCTTACAATATGACGCTCCCGTTTCTCTCCCTAGTGCATCTAAGCAATTGTGGTAAGTTATACAGGGTACACTTAGATTAGTATCAACAGGAGGGTGTTTAAAAGAGGTATGATTGGCTCATAAAAATTTGATATTAAGGCGGGTAAAGTAGTGTATACAAGTATACAACACCTTCAATTGCTGAATTAAAGATAGATTTTGGTTGAGGTATGGGTAGGCTCATATTAATCCAGGCAGAAGTAGCTTATGTGACTCAGGCCTTGTCTTGGATGGCTGGACGCCACCAGAAAATAAGAATAAAAATGCCTTATTTTTGACAGGGAAGATTGAGGAATGTAATTCATATTTGTGGGTCTGATTCAATTGGATCATCTTGTTGCTCTTGGCTATTAATATGTTTATCATTTTTTGGCCTACACTAATTAGTGCATAAACTTAATGAAGCTTCATGGAGGCGAATTAGGGTCTGTTTGTTAGTGCATAAACTTGTGAAGTAATTTCATGGAATTAACAGTCCTACTCGTCTTCACAGGGCGCTGCTGCGTGTGCTGTCCACTATCTGGGCCACACTCCTGGTTTATTTATAGTAGGGTTATTTGCAATTTTAGTCCTGTGGATGTATGGTAACTTTTGGATCACTGGCACATTATTTATTGTTGGAGGTATGTCTCATTTCCTGGCTTATTATTGTTTACTTTAAGGCAAGATCATATCCTTTATCTTATTTTGGGTTGGAGGTGGGAGACATCCTCATTTGTCACTAGCCCAGTTATCTTGTTTTCTTGAAAGTATACCTTTTGTCATCTTTGGTTTTATTGTTCTTCAGAGATGGTCACCATGGCTGATACTTTCTCATGATCTCTTTAAGAGCCTGTTTGTTGGCAGCTTAATGGGACTCACAGCTTATTCGGTTAGCTATACATGATTGTTTGGTACTGGCTTAACGATATAGAAAGTGACTTATTTAGTAAGCTTCTAGGGGGGCTTTATGCAGAAAGCCAAGTTTTTTCCAAACCTGCCCYTCCMAWTWAAAARAYAYGCTCCTTCCATCTATGWAAAAAYCCTYCCAAACAAAAACCTTCCCGATCTATACAGACAAATGAATCCATACAAACAGATTTATCTGTACATAACTTAATGGAAAACACCCCCTATATAGGGTGTGTACGTAGTGATCATCCTTTGGTTTCATCCTCTTGCTGTTGAAATCCAAAATCTTCTTGCATGTTGCAGGTTACTTGTTTTCCCGGAAACACGCAAGGTTGGTCGTTTTAATTGCAACCTTATATGCTCTCTATTGTGTAAAAGTTCAAGGAGGATGGTCTGGATTTTTGGTATCAATTAACCTTGCTTTCCTATCTAACGATGCGTTAAACTGCATCCTCCAATGGTGTGATAATCTGAGTGAAAAGACGCATTTTGAAGAGCAGAATTTTTCTGAATCATTTGTTGAAGATGAATTCCGACCAGAGAGTGAGTTTTTTAATCCTACCAATGAAGCTGAGAAGGTGCATCCTACTGATGAAACCGAGAAGGTGCGTCCTACTGATGAAGCTGAAAAGGTTCAGTCATGTGAATGTTCAAGCGAACCAACTTCTACAACAATTATATTGAACAAACCAAAGGAATCGTCCTCTTTCGCTGTGGTCAAAGACGATTTGAAAGCAGTTAATGAGATGAAAAGAATTCTTAGCTGTGTGGATCATTATGAAGCACTAGGATTATCTCGTTACAAGAGGATTGATGGAATTTTGCTGAAGAAAGAATATAGGAAAAAGGTAGGCCGGTTTTGCTCATTTGCTAGTACCATCTTTAGTTTCTTGAATTCTTGCCTTTAGTTTCTTGAATCTTTTGTAAAGTTTCTTATGCTTTATGGTCCTATTGATTGTATAAATTGCCCGTTATGTAAAATTCCCGTTTCTTTCTATCGCAGGCCATGCTTGTGCACCCCGATAAAAACATGGGAAGTCCGCTGGCAAGTGAATCCTTTAAAAAGATTCAATGTGCATATGAGGTAAACCGTCTTCTAGTTTACCCCAGGATTGGCTAAAAGTTTTTCTTTTTTCTTTTTTCTTTTTTCTTTTTTCTTTCTGGGTGTCTGTAACTGATAGTTTTACGATATTCTCAGGTTCTTTCTGATTCTTTGAAGAAAAGAGACTACGATGAGCAGCTGAGAAAGAAAGAATCGAGGACTCTATCTCACAAATCTCCTAGTACTTCCCATCAGGCATGTCACCATAAACATACTTGAATAAGCATAACAAGATTCTTTGTTTGCATCAAATGTACCATGATTTTGTTGGGTGGTTTAATATTGTTCAACCTCGATGATAAAGCAGGAGAGTCCTGATTACTGCTCTAGGGAATCACGACGCATACAGTGCACAAAATGTGGTCATTCACATATATGGATATGTACAAATAGGACGAAATTGCAGGCAAGATGGTGTCAGGTAGAGACTTATGTTTGAAAGTAGAAGATAGATGAAAATCTAATTCTATTATATTATCTTTTGGTTATCAGAGAAATCGATGATAATCCTTGTATTTGTTGTTTCAGGATTGTTGTCAATATCATCAAGCCAAGGATGGGGACGGGTGGGTAGAATACAAAGGCTCGCTAAGCTTTGATCGAGCTCAAAAGGTTTGTGATTTTTCAAGAAATAGCAAGTTAAAGTTTTTTGGTTACAATTTAGAGGATGGTGTTATTTTGGTGATTTAGGTGGAGATACCGCGTGCTTTTGTTTGTGCGGAGAGCAAGATTTTTGATGTTTCAGAATGGGCCATTTGCCAGGTGTCGTTTTGAGATATATATATATATATATACACACACACATATATAATGTGTAAGGTTCAGGGGAAAACCGCAAAAAAGTGAAAAACTGAGGAACACCTTAGTACTCATTTATTTGTACAGTATGCACATGTGCATCGCATGTAACCAGAAAGCATCTTCATTTTTTCATTTTTTAGGGTTTTCCCATAACCTCACTGCTGCGCTCTCTCTCTCTCTCTCTCTCTCTCTCTCTCTCTCTCTCTATATATATATATATATATATATATATATATTAGAAAATGTGATTAGAAAATGCAAAATTTAACAAAATATGTTTGAACAGGGAATGGGTTGCAGGCCAAATACCCATCGTCCAACTTTTCGTGTAAACATGGTTGGATTGGAGAAACCTGCAAGATCAAACTCAAGCAGGTATCCATGGGATTTGGATGCAAAAATGGCATCGGATGAAGAAGAGGAATTTGAGATATGGCTAAAAGAAGCATTGGCGTCGGGTTTATTTAGCGAAACTTCAAAACGTAGAAAAAGCTGGGGACCCTTCTTCAAATTACCTCAGAAGAAAGGAAAGAAAGAATGGAATCGAATGTCTCAGTAGTAAAAAAGAATCCTTTGGGTGGTTGGTTTTGTAATGTATGTATATAAATGGTGTCCGGTGTGTATGCATTATTAGATTTTGATGTGAAGAAGATGATGATGATGATGTTAAGTTGTTAATAAAGTTGTTTCAATCAACATCACAATTCCTCCACCAATTCAAGAACAGATGATCCATGCTTACTGTGGAACACCAGAAGAAGCTTTGGTAACCACATATGTATATTTTGGTTGATGAATGTTTAGGTGCATGATATAGTTTATATTCATTGGTGAATGCACCCGTTAGCATAGTATAACACACTAACAAATTTCATGTTGTGTGTATTCATTGATGAATCTGGTCATATGCAAAATACATTACATTGATAAGTTAACATCGTCTACAATTTCATTAATAAAAAAATATGACAAAATTTATAGGTATAGATTATTTAGATAGTGTGTATTCATCTATTAATATTAGAATTTATATTGATATTAGTTTTGATAATTTTTTA